CACCAGAAAACCGGAAGTGGCGTTGTAGCTCAAGTGGTAGAGCGCTTGCTTTGAGCTGAAGAGCTGAGGGACAGCGCCCAGGCCCAGAGTTCAAGCCTCATGACCGACAAAAAAAATTAAAAAAAAAAAATGTGCAATAGCCTCGGGGAAAAGAAGCCAAAACGCACCCAGTCAGGGGCCTGTGGTCGACAACTACAATTTTAGCAACTCAGAAGGCTGAGATCTCAGGAAAGTGGCTCAAAACCAGCCCGGGAAGGAAAAATCGAATTATGCCAGAAAATAAAACCTGAAAAGACACTTTACAACAAAAGCTCCCAGCCATGCGTGGTGGAACATGCTTATAACCCCAGCACTTGGGAGGTTGAAATAAGACCCCAGCCTACATGTGACACCTGTCTCAAACCAAAACAACTCCCATCACCAATGAACAAAGCCACGCAGATGTACTGTACTGGACTTCCTCACCTGCAAATGTGATGTGCGTTTTCATCTCAAAACTACTAGAATGGCCGGTGTGGCGCTTAGAGGAAGGCGGCCCAACACCAGCCAGGCAGGAAAGTCTGAGACTTTCCTGAACTCGGGCCTGGGCAATGTCCCTGAGCTCTTCAGCTCAAGGCTAGCGCTCTACTACTCAAGCCACAGCACCACTTCCGGCTTTTCCTGCTTATGTGGCACTGAGGGAGGGCTTCATCCATGCAAGGCAAGCACTGTACCACTGAGCCACCTTCCAGCCCCTGCGTGAGACTCTTATTTCCAATTAACCACCAGAAAACTGGAAGTGGCTTGTGGCTCAAGTAGTGGAGTGCTTGCCTTGAACACACAGTGCCTAGGCCCTGAGTTCAAGCCCCAGGACTTGGGGGGGGGGTAGGGAACTAATTATATATATATATATATATATATATACATATAAAATGATCCAGGCCACAACATAGACAGTTATACAACACAAGAGAAAAAAGAAAAAAGTAATGGTTAATTGGTGATAAACATCGAAAACCCATTGTATTTTTTTTTTTTGGGTCCGGTCGTGGGGCCTGAACTCTGGGCCTGGGGGCTATCCCTCAGCTCTTCAGCTCAAGGCTAGCACTCTACCACTTGAGCCACAGCACCACTTCCGGCTTTTTTTTCTTTTTGCTTATGTGGTGCCGAGGAATCGAACCCAGGGCCTCATGTGTGCAAGGCAAGCACTCTACCACTGAGCCACCTTCCCAGCCCCCCCATTGTATTTCTTAAAAATAGAGGTAAAGCCGGAAACAAGTGCCTATCAGGTGACCAGCTGGTGACCACTCAAGAATGAAGACCTGCAGCAAGATTGTGTAACCTTTTGCCCTTTCTCATGGAGACTTTTGCTATAAAAGCTTGTTATCCTCTGCATTAAATCGCACTCAGCACTCACTCCTCCTGTGTGTGAGTTGTCTGTTTGCCATCTCCCCACCTATTCCAGTTCCTCCACTAGGTGTCCTCCGTTGTCCTGACAGAGCCGGTCCGAGGCACTTCACTAGTCTGCTTTGTGCGCTTCTTTATAAGGGATTTACAGAACACAGATGTACACCCGCACAGATGTCAGCTCTTCCTCTTTTCCACTGTGTACACGTAAGTGTTCCAAGGCCCACACGTGACGGCCTTTACGTGGAGCTGGTTGTCCACGAAGTACTTTACCCGCCGGGGCTGGTCCAAGCTGGTGCCGTCGCCGTGGCCAAGCTGTCCGTATTTACCTGAAGTGGAAGGAGGGCCGCTGCCATCCCCCCGGTCCCCCCGCCCGCCTCCTCTGCCCCTTCCCTGGGCCGCTGTGCTGCCTGGACAGCACAGAGCTCCGCAACGTCCCGGGGACACGTGCCCAGCCCTGTTTTTAGCCCACGGCCTGTGGCCTGCGAGTCTTTGTGCGTCAGTCACCCGCACAGTCCAGTCCTGTCCCACCTTAAGGATCCCATGGCAGTGTTCACTTACCCCAGCCCCAGGTGTAGAGCTCCCCTGCTCCTGCAAGCAGAGACAAAGCGGCACTTGCTTGTGCGCCCCAGGACCCTTGCCTGGCCCAGCCCTACACACTCCAGCAAGGCCCAATCCATCTGAGGCTGCACACAGAGCACCACGGGCCCGTGACCACTGTCACATGGGGCTGGCAAAGGATCCAGCTGCAACAGGGGACCGTCCTGTACCACACAGCTGCTGAAGTGGGCTGTACACTTCACATTTGTGTGTGTGCGGAAGATGTCCTTGTTAGCCTCCTACAGGGAAGAACCTTCTGGGCCTGACAGCCTGGGAGCTATCACTTTTATGTGTTGGCTGGCTGAGATTACACACCTGTAATTCCAGCACCCGAGGCTGGGGCCGGGTGCTGTGAGATCAGGCCAGGCTGGCTACAGAGCAAGCGCCGGGTCTGCGCACTAAGGTCCACCCGCCCGGACAGAACGTCCTCCAGACTTGAGCCAGCAGGATGCCAGACCACAGGTGTGGCTCAGGTAGTAGAGCCACGGCACCGCTTCTGCTTTTCTGGTGGCTTGTTGGAGATGAGTCTCGTGGACTTTCTTGTCCAGGCTGACTCTGAACTGTGATCCTCAGCTCTCAGCCTCCTGAGTAATTAGGACTACAGGTTTGGGCCACCAGTGCCCAGCTACGAGCTGCTTTGTTTAATGGCAACTCTACTTAAAGAGAACCTCCAAGTAGCAAGCAGAGTGTGAGGTCCTGGTGCAAACCCCAGCTCTAGCATGCACACACACAGGGCAGTTTCTGCTGGGGACGCGGGTCACCTTCCCAGCACCCAGGAGGGTCCAGGAAGCGCGGGGGGGGGGGGGTGAGGCTAGCCTAGACCACGCGGCGGAATTATTCTCAACTTAAAAAAAGCAAAATGAGGGTGATGTTTTGGGCGGCCACACCCCTTTCTGCAGCCCTCCAGCCCCGTCCCGAGCCCCACTCACGCGTTACCACGGCCGTGTGCCGGGACCCACAGCTGGCCTTGATGGCCTCGGAGCCCAGGGGAAGGTCCAGTAGGGCGGGGAAGGGCTGGACAGCTATGAAGGTGGCCGGGGCTCCATCCTCAGTGCTGGCTCCTCCCTTCGTGTCGGCGCCATCTCCACCTCCTGGGGTTTAGCGTGGTTATAGTGATGCGGAGCACTGAGCGCACCAGAACTCCCTCGTTCCACAGGGCTGGCAGGTTTCGCTGCAGGGGCTCCGAGCTGCTGTGCACGCCCCGGTGGGGATGCCTCCCACTCCTGTGTGCAGTGGCCTGGCCCAGCTCACAGCCCAGGACGACTCACCGTAGGGCCACTCACCTTCCCCGGGGGCTGTCTTCTCTGCCAGTCTCCTGGTGGGCAGCGCTAACTGCCCTGACTCATTCCAGCCCCAGATGTAAACATCGCCAGTCTCTGTGAGAGAAGAGCCGCTGCCCTCGGCAACAAGCACAGCCAGCCAGCCAGCCAGCCAGCCAGCCAGCCAGCCAGCCAGCCCGCCCGCCCGCCCCGTGTGCACTGTAGCCTCCTCGTCTCCGGCCTAGGTTCCCTTCTGGTCAGCCAGGCAGCGGATCAACAGGCTCTTCTGCCTCGGCCTCCCCTGTGACTGGGACTCCCGGCGTGCGCCTTGACACTGCACTTGGCTGGACCTCCATTTTCCTTGTCCATGGGCCCAGCGTCCTCGGTTCTGACCTCGCTCTCCCTGCGCTCGTGCACACAGTGCCCCCTCTGGGCTGGGCTTTCATGCGTGGGATTCCTGCGCCCAGGCTCTGGCAATCCTTGGACAGGGGCTCTGCCACTGGGTTCCACCCAAACCCTGCTGGTACTTTGGGTCATCCTCTCACAGCCCAGGACTGGCCTTGAACTCATGATTCTCCTGAGGCCGCCTCTGCTGGGATTACAGGAGTGCCTGCGCTTTTCAAAGGCAGCCACGTAATCGTTACAGTAGTCCCGAAGGGAGACGATGACGGGGTCCCCCTTCACACAGCATCCCCACTGAGGCACAGAGGGGCCAGGCTGGGGCTCACAGACACCTCGGCACTTCGGGCTGCAGATGCCTTTCCTGAACCTTCGGAGGGGAGCTTCCACCAGGGAGTCAAACCTGGCTCCCAGCCTAACCCAAGAACTGGGGTCTCTGGGTGAGCAGTGCCAGGCCAGCCCGGGCTCCGGAAGCAGGAGCCGGCTGCACCCCGTGGACCCCGCGGCGGTGGGGTCAGCGCCACCCGCGCCCAGGGTGCCCGCCATGGGCCTTCCGGCCGGAATAGCCACTCACCGCTCAGACACACCGAGTGCCAGCCGCCGGCCGCAGCCTCCACCATGGTCAGGCCGTGCAGCGCCTCCAGCCGCCGCGGCTGCGGCTCCGCCTCCAGCGTCCCGTGGCCGAGCTGTCCGTGCCTGGGCAGGGGGACGGGCATGAGCTGCGGCTCGGCTCATGGAGAAGCCCCTCCGCGTGTACGCGCGCGCACAGGGCCTCACCTGCCTCCGCCCCAGGAGAACACCTGGCCGTCGGCGCCCAGCAGCAGCGCGTGCTCGGCGCCCAGGTGCAGCTGGCGCGCGCGCAGCTCGGGGGCCAGGGCGCAGCG